TTTGCATGCATTTTTAAATTTTTTTAAATACGAAATTTCATGAACTGTGTAATGATATAAAGTTATTGGTATCTAAGGATGCTTGTGGTAACTATATGACACCACAATATATTTTGTATTGAGGATCGATTTCGACTAATCACTAGGCATCCTCAGACCTTGTTATAAGTTATATATTAGCTAATTTATAATTATTTATACAGGTAAGTTACCGTGATATCGGTGTAATTGTGTAATTGCACCGATATGACTGTTACTTACTTGTATAAATAATTATAAATTAGCTAATAGATAACTTGTCCGTCTTTTCGTCCGTTCGATTGTCCGACTTCTACAGTTTTCATGCTATTTAGTTCGTTCTTTTGGAATTCGATAGCTTAAAAATCTGGCACCTGAGCAAAAAAAAACATCTTTAAAGATTAATTTGCGCATGCGCACACTGCTTAATATCAACTTGTTTATTTGCAGACATATTTTTTTGAAATTTTAACCAAAGATTCTTCTAGTAAAGTCAGATCGCATAGTCTAAACATGAGGTGTACGCCAAAGAAACCTATTTTTAATTTTTTATAGTTTACTTTCCAGTCCAATAAAACTTTCGAATTACGAATTGCAACTCTGATTTGACAATTTGCAACCCCTAACTTAAAAGTACAAGTTCTGAATTGTAAGTGTAAGTGTAACTCGGAATTTCGCGAAATTTGTAAAATTCCTTTAAACGTAGTTGTGAGGAACACGCCTGTATATTATGCCTGATACTGTAAAGGAATAATAAAATCCATTTCTCTTGCTTTGCTTTATGAAAAAAAGTCATAAGAGCAGTAATTCGATTTTTTTACAGAGGGATCTGTAGAAGAAGACCATTATTTAAGATTTCTGAAAAAAATCAATCAATCAGTTTTTTTGTTCATTCGATTATGATGAATATTCCGATAAGTAATACTTCGTCATTCTACACTATACACTATAATGACGAAGTCAACCGGATTGCGTCGAGAATTTGGTCCTAAATTTAAGGTGTGGGCTGATTAAAATTTTGGCCCGTCGAAAAGCATCGTTCGCATGTTATTGACTTTAGTTTAAAAACTCTGCCATTTGTAAAGTTTGTTTTCTATCAGCAAAATTAAGACATTAAAATTCTATAGAAAGAACGCGCTGGTATATGGAGGTGGATGCCTCCAACTTTTCCGGAAAATAAATGATTACAGCTACATTTTCTTATATGGCTCTGCAATAAACACGGAAACGTATTTTGAAACTATAACGAAAGCAGACAGAAAATACTCATCCAAGATAAACATAAACATATAAAAGTATCATAAAAGCAAAACCACAGAAATAATTCTCACTCTCGAATCGATTTTAGCCGCAGAAAGCTTCTTCTTAGCGCATAAAATATGATTTTCATCCATACGGATACAGTCCATATAATAATTCCGGGAATCAAATAAAAATAACTATAAATCAGAGGCATTAGCATAAACCGTCGCGCTATGCAAATCGGGCGCCATCTTCGGATGACGTATGCAAAATAAGAATCTTTGATGGTTTTCAACTTCTGCTTTTCCCATATTTTATTTTACTTCCATAATTATTTCGAATTTCTTTGATTGTAAACTGAGCGGGTTTAAAAATGCAAAAGACGGGAAAATTACGGTTTGTTCTGGACAATCCGAAAGTGAAATAGAACACAGTTAAAATGTAAAAATATTCGCTGAAAAGAATTTCTTAGTTCCGGTTTCCTGCCATTTGTAGTGGAACTCTGTTGTCTTCGTGAAAAAAGCGACACTATTATACAGAACCGACGTCTGTTGGGACAACATTGAATGAATATTTTTAGGATTTATGTACGTTTTGGGTTCATTAAAACGTTTCGCCAGTATATGCGCGATGCGATGTTAATAAGGGTTGTTCGTAATGAAAGCGCGAGGATCAAGACCGAGGTAGATGGATCACGTATTAGCAACCATAGAGAGGACAACAGATTTATCCCTATGCGAACACAGCGATCTGCTTATATAATCGCGTTACCTCATTGCATTGTATCGCAAAGCGGATCAAGTGGCTCTGATTAATGGCTACCCAATATGACGCCACACTAATTTAAATTTATCTTTGGTACGTTTCAGCGCCTCTCAAAAACATTTATTTATTGTGGCGATTATTCTATCGTGAAAGCTTGAAATTTAGTTGATTTGATTTTAGTTCGTTTTTTTTTATCTTGCATCGTTGTTTTAATTATCTACATCGATTTACAATTTTTCCTAACTTAACAATATAGCGAGATAATGTTTTGGTTGTGATTTTTGTATTTAAGCTAGGTTTATCTGTTAGACATTGATATTTACAATATAATTATAATAGCTTAATCATACCCCGAGGGTGGAAAACTTCACAAACGTTAACTGAAAAATGCTCGAGGTCGGAGGAGGAAGTTTTCAAAAATTTGGAGCAATGAAACTGCAAACTGCACATGACCTAAAAGGAATAAGGAGCTGTAAGGATTTCAATGTATAAATTAATAAATGCCATGATATTCAAATTTTCCGCACATCTAAATTAAAGTTAAGCCCAATCAATTAAGTTACAGTTCTACAACATTTTTAAATTTTCTTAATTAAGCTGTCAATGTTTCTGCCTAGATTCAAGACAAAGTCAATTAATATTTAATCGAGTATTTAATAAAATGTAAGTATATACATATACCGGGTGAATATTTCAAAATCGTACATAGGGAATTAACATGGGAAAAAGGTTTTTTGTAGATACCCATGATAACTCGAAGGGTTTATATTGACACCAATCGAAAGCAGATTTTTTTTATCATCTATATGCGAATTAGTTCATTTTGATGTGTATTTCTCTTTATTTTATCCAAAATTAGGCAATAAATCCACTTAGCAAGTAGCAAAGTGACAACCTGGCATTAATTGATTCGTAAAATGCAGTTCAATGAGGACAAAGTATTTATAATACACAACGCATTTTAGTGAGCGCCCATTCCGCCTGTGTCAAAAGCTAAACATGATTTTGGTAATTGGATTTTTGATAAAATAATGAGAAATACAAATGAACTAATTCTTATATCATTAGATAAGAAAAACAATCTTAATTATAAACCCTTCGATCGGCAAAAAAACGTTTTTCCCATGTTAATTGCCTATGTTCGGTTTTGAAATATTCACCCAGTACATGTTTTGAATAGGTACTTATGCAGAACCAGAGATAATCAATTATTACAGATCGGTATGTGAATTTCTTCCAATTAAAACGTAGTGTGGTAAGTGTGGTAAGTTAACAATATACAAAATCACTGTAATTGTAAATTTAAACCTTTTATATGGCTTTATTTTTTATTGGGTTATTGGTACAGTTTACATTAAATAGTACGAATCCACTACCTGGTAGTACCTAAAACATTACAGCCCAATATAAGGTCTTACTACCGTTACAAACAGCAGTTCCATTCTCTTCTTCAAAATATTTGCACTGAAAGTTTGGACATCACCAGTAAAGGTGCCTCGTCCAGACGTTCCACTTGCCATGTGTGAGTACCCTCTTCCGACACTTCGTTTTCAAGATATACTTCACCAATAGACATGCCTCATCCAGATGATTCAGTTTGCCTTGTGAGTACTCTACAAACCGTTTTCGAAGTATTCGCTTTTAGTTCATTCTTATTTCTTCCAGACATTCTATAATCGCTCTTTTTGAGAACCCTCCTCTGACAATCCGCTCTTGAAATAAGGAATTATAACCGATCACGATAAATGGTCGAGGAGGAGTATGGTTGGTAATTCATTCCTTTCATCGAGACCTTTAATTACAGTACCATGAGGCATAAATGGGCGGTAATTAATTGAGACATTTAATTAGAACATCATAAAAGATTAAATCCATTTCTTCAATAGCTTAGGGCCTGAACAGCTTACATACATCTCCATATCGATATCACATTCACATCTCGTCAATAACGTCCCTTTCTCGCCCGTAATCTTCTCCCCTAAAAACACATGTGCGACGTGTGTGCTTTGCGCCACCAAACAATGGAGGTATTTAAAAAATAATCTGTTGAGTACCCAGATGCTTTTTAATTTGTCCAGTGCCATCCTAAGAAGTTCGATATGAGCAATATTATAAACTATTTAAATGGTGGTGTTAGAGAAAATTTCACGCTACTAAAAAAACCGAACATATAATATAATATAATATAATATAATATGTAGTAATAACCCCTAAAACATTGATAAATTACAAGTACGGGTTGACTCGATATTTTTATTTCGATTTTACAATTGTATGACACGGATTACTTAACTTTGACGCAAAACATTCTGTATATGGGACTATTACAAACAACTATCATGTGAAACTGTTAATTGTTTGTAATATGTAGTCCCATATACACTGTAATTTTTTATTTTATTTACATGTTAAATTATTCTACTGTGTTTGTTTCTACTTACTTTTAAAATGGATACAACAAAAATTATCCAATGGAACTGTCGGGGACTATCTAACAATTTCAACGAACTGAAACTCTTAATTCAAAAGTATACACCATTGTGTATTGCTCTTCAAGAGACGCACCTGAAACCGAGATCAAAATACAATATAAAAAATTTCAGTCTGGTAAGGAAAGATTTTTACTCACCTGAAAGAGCCTGTGGAGGAGTGGCTTTTCTCATTCGAAAAGGCACACCATATAAAAGGGTTGTATTAAATACAACTAACCAAGCTGTAGCAGTACAACTTGAAATTGTTAAAACTTTTACACTTTGTAACATCTACGTTCCTAATACAGCATATGAAGTAGATCAAATTAGACAAATTATAAATCAGCTCCCAACACCCTTTGTTCTTGTCGGAGATTTCAATTCCCACAACATTGTTTGGGGCTCTACCTCAAATGATGCCCGAGGCAAAGAGTTAATGGAACTCATAGAAAACGATAACTTAAGTATCTTGAATAACGGTTCGGCCACGTTTTTCAACGTGAGATCCGGAACATTCGACGCAATTGATCTTTCTATATGTTCTCCAAATATATACTGTAATTTTGAATGGGAGGTGGAAACTGATCTCCATCACAGCGATCATTTTCCCATAATCATTTCTGTTAGAGGCAAAAATCCCACGATAAGATCAGTGGCTAGATTTAAGATCCCACAAGCAGATTGGGAACTTTTTGCAAGTAAGTTCGTCCCTCCAGCCCTAGATAGCTTAAGTTTAAAAACTCTTACATCTGCTATATTAGACGCTGCGAACGCCAGTATTCCAAAATCCAAACCTGGCAATAAAACAAAAATGGTTCCGTGGTGGTCGTCTGAAATAAAAGAAAAAATATCATTAAAAAATCAAGCCTTATATAGATTTAGACGTAATCCTACGTTGGACAATTTAATAATTTTTAAGAAACGTCGTTCGGAGTGTCGCCGAAAAATACTAGAAGCACAGAGGAGCTCCTGGAATCAATACGTGTCCACGATTACACCGGACACTACTAGCAAGGAAGTGTGGAAAAAGGTTGGAGCCGTATCAGGTAAAATTGGTTGCAATAGTCTGGCCTTCTTGCGAGATTCAGAGGGACAAATCACAAATAAACCAGAGGATATATCGGATATCATAGCAACCCAATTTTACCAAGTTAGTAGCTCCAAAAATTATGCGGATACATTTCTTCACACTAAACAACATAAAGAATCCATTCCTATTATTTTTGATACTAACGAAAACTTAAATTATAATACTCCGTTTACCTTAGAAGAGTTGAATATCGCTATCCGTAACACCAAGTCATGTTCACCGGGAGAAGACGAAATCCACAACCAGATGTTTCATCACTGTACTCCTGAAATGCAACAAAGTATTAGATTTCTTTAATATTTGTTGGAATGAACATACTTACCCCTCGGAATGGAAACAGGCCGTTGTCATTCCTATACCGAAACCTGGAAAAGATCCGTTGCTGGCACAAAGTTATCGCCCAATTAGTTTAACGTCTTGCTTGGGAAAACTGCTAGAGAAAATGGTTAATGTGCGGCTGCAAACATTTCTTGAAGATAATAATATATACGTACCTTATCAAACGGGTTTTCGGAAGGGACGAGCAACGGCTGACCATTTGGTCAAATTGACCGATAGAATTCTGAGTGCATTTGACAGTGGTGAGCACCTGGTTGCGGTTTTCTTTGATATAAAGGGCGCTTACGACATGACTTGGAGATATGGAATATTGCAGAATATGTATAAATACAATCTTCGAGGGAACTTACCAAAATTTATAGAATCCTTTCTAGAGAACAGAAAGTTTGTTGTAAGAATCGGTGACATCCACTCAAAAGAGTATGTTTTAGAAAATGGTGTGCCGCAGGGGTCAACACTTAGCTGTTCCCTGTTTGGCATCGCCATAAACGAAATAGCTAAAGGTGTTGAGGGGATGATTGATAAATGTTTGTATGTTGATGATTTAATGGTTTGTTGTTCTGGTAAGACGGTCGGTGCAATAACTCGAAGTCTACAAGTGGCCATAAACAAAATCTGTAGTAACGCCAATGCGGTCGGGTTTGTGCTGTCGGAGGAAAAGACAAAGGTTGTCCACTTTTGCCGACTCCGTAGACCGCACTATGATCCTGTGCTACTAATGAATGATCGTGTAATCAGTGTTGTTCAGGAAGTCAAGTTTCTCGGGCTTACCTTTGACAGGGAATTACGGTGGTCAAAGCATTTAAATAATGTTACTGCTACATGTAGAAAATCGCTGAACATCATCAGAGTTCTCGCTCATCATAGGTGGGGAGCTCACCCTAAGACCCTACTGGATATATATAAGGCCCTCATCCTATCAAGGATGGATTATGGATGTGCAGCGTACTCTACGTGTGGCAATAATGCTTTGCTTGGGGAACTTGATAAGATTCAGAACCTGGCTATTCGATATTCTTTGGGAGCATATCCAACAAGTCCAGTTCCATCGCTCTACGTCGAGGCAAATATTCCCCCTCTAGCTCTTCGCCGGAAACAGATTGTTGCAAACTACTATATAAAAGTAAGGTTAGATGATAAACATCCAAATTTTAGATCCCTTACTGATGCGACTACCATTGCTCGTCTATACAGATGTAGATCGTTAGGTGTTAGGGCTAGAGAGGTATTAAACCACCTCCAATTGGAGAATATTGACTTCACGAGTATGTCATCTACTGCACGGCGTGGACTCGTGAAAAGTAAAATCTATGAGCGGTGGAGTGAGCAGTGGTCGGAGTCTGATACGGCTTTGAAAAGGATCAAACCTAGTCTGGATCCGCTATTCTATATCGACGTTAGACGTTTGAACTTGATCAGGCTGTACAGACTCCGTCTGGGGCATACTGTTCTCACTCATGGGTATTTGTTGGCAGGTGAAGAACGGCCATTATGCGAACAATGTGGTGTTAATTTAACACACATCACATTATTTCTATTTGTCCGCAGTATATGAATGTACGTGTGATATTTAATATAAACCCGATATGGGAAAATAACTTCAAAAATGAAGAGCAATGTAAAAATACTCTTGCGTTCATCCAACAAATTGGCATTGCAAACCATCTGTGATATTTTTAAATTTTTGTCTTTATGTATATTTGTGTAGTAAATAAGTAAATGTAATCACGCCTGTCTTGTGTTGTGTGTTCAGAAACTGTGATATTATAGTACCTTAGTGTAAGTATAAAGGCTAATGGCCATAGATGCCGAAGCCTCAGGTGGGGTTTTAGTGGGTATACCCAGATAATGGGAGAGTCCCACACTACTCCGGACTTCTATCCGGAGTGTGCGTAATGCATTTCCCCACCTGTCAAAAAAAAAAAAAAAAAAAAAAAATTCTATTTTTTCAGCGTTTTCACCTTTAGGAAAGCTATCTGTGAAATTTTAATTTAGTTAATATTCCTTTAATTATGTCTATAGTTTATGTTAGATGTTAGATTGTTGATTGAGTATTGACACATTTCAATTTTGACCTATTGTCGCGTTATCAGTTCTACACCCCGTATATTGTAAAACGACGATATATAGTTTTTAGCACATTTTTTTAGCAATAAAGGGGTTAGTTTCACTAACTCGATCATTCGGCGTCTTTTATGAACAACTAGAGACCTCGGCAAGAAAATATCACAGAGCCTTCGGGTTTTCTGCATGAGATTTGTAAGTATCAATGAGTAATTTTTCCGTCATTTCTCAGAATAGGGTTACTGACACCCCAAGTAACCATTATTCAAAGCCATCCCGGTAATATCTTAAGTTATTATAGAGACCGGAAGGTGTGTCTTTCAACTTCATTATGAAGACGGTTTATGTGTAATTTATGTAATCTTAAACCATAACGGTACATAAGTAGATAAACCGTTTATAGCTAGCAAATGTACTCCTAAAACAGGCAGAAATAAGAGAATAAATACCAAGAACCCAAAAGCATATTATCCCGAAGAATTTGCGCCCTTATATAGCATAAATAAGAAATGTATTCACCGTGTTTAAAGTAGGGCTATTATTCACCACTTTGTAAGATAAAGAAACAATTTTATCAGTAAGCCAGTTGAACTGCTAACCGAATGCAATCTTGTTTCGAGGCCATTAACTTAATTACCAACCCTTTCTCTGAGAGAGACAATAAGATTGCGATATTAATTTAAATGAGTGAGATAATCTAAATATCGAGCGGTGATTTATTAGGCGTAGCGAATATTAATTTGTTCCGTCTGAAATGAAGCAAATATTATAAATGATAACGGTTAACCGAATATATAGTTAATTAAATATAGTACGTATTCGGTTTTGGTACATCTGAAGAGTTCATCGCATTATTCTTGGCCGAATTTAATCTCGAAGGGATTTTTCTTTTGGGACAATTCGCATAATGGAATATTAATATTTCATCTCTCTATCCTTCATACACTTAATACACTTTGTTTAAGCTCTATAAGCATTATAGTGGAAACGTAGTTAATGAATCCTTAGAACTCCTTTGGTCTGTCTGCAAATGAATGGGAGGCAAGAAAAGTCCATTTTATTGATCAATTAAGTAATTAATACTACTTTAATTATTTTTAACCATTTTTATGCGAACTTTTAATTTTAAAGTGACTGTAGGCACTACTCTCAATTATTACAAATTTAATCCACTACAACAATCTGCTTATTAATAATAATTACCTACTGTCTTTATATATAACATTCTTCTGTACTGTGTTTGTGACCGAACTCCAGGTTCCTCATAAACGGCTGGACAGATTTTGATGAAATTTATCTCTGTGTATTCGGATAGTCTAGATCGAGTCCGATCGAATTATATGATTTTTTAACACCTTTTTTCGTTGATGTCGCATTCCGCTATTTCGCGGACCGATCGATACATGTACAAAGTCACTTGCATCGTATCATGCTGATGTGTTTACATTTTTACATTCTGTACGCTGGGTTTTCGTTATCGTATATCCGTTATGAATACCTTGTTATAAAATAGATGTGTCTAGTTCTACTGGTCCACGGTTATTAAACGCATAAGCAGTTCCTGTATGCTTGTCTGTTCATAAGTGGAAATTGCTATTTAATAACTTTTTTATTTCCAGGATGTGCAACAGATGATAAAATGCTAGGAAAGAAGTTTCTTTGAAACTGTAGGTAACGGTTAAGAGATTGCAAGGTTATCTTCAGGATGGTCCAGCATTTCTGTAATATCACAATAACTAGGTATTGTATGTATGTATGTATATTTGTCGTAATATCACATTCAGTGCTTGCGACAAGTCAAATTACAGCATAAATAAGTAGTATACAATAAAAAGTACAAACAGACAAAGAAATTCATAAAAAACTAACAATATTAAAAATAAAAATACAAGTTAAAATCACAAATTAAAAACAATAGGTGTACTGAGGTATTCCTCTATGGAGTAGAAACAATAAGCTAAAAAATGATTTTTTATAAAATTTTTAAACTTAACGAAAGGTAACTGCTTCACACCCAGTGGTAGTACATTATACAAATCTATGCGGGGGCTATTATTTTTGGATTTGGAAAGTCTAAAGTATGGAATCCTCAGATTTTTTGCGTTCCTAGTGTTGTAGCTGTGTGTAGTGTCATTAGTTGGGAATGTAGATAACTTTTTGTGAATTTCTAAAAGAGCAGTTACATATAATCGTGAGTAGACAGCAGAATCTTTACATCTGTTCATTGAGTTCCAAGAGCTGTTGTTTGGAAAATAAACGATCCTTAAGAAGACGAGCAAGGATATTCCTACCAATAAACGCATATTTCAGTTTTTGCGGCCGGTATTCTTTATTTATCAATCAATTCTTATTAGACACCAAAATGGCAAAATTGTTCACAATATAAGTTATCACTAAAATGCGATTGTTTTTTTCTATTTTCTCTAGTATCTCCCTCATCCACCCCTCACCTGCTCCTACCTCATCCAGCACCTCTTTTCTACTTCTCCCTGTCATTTCCACCTCTGTACAGTTCCATAATATGTCCTCTTCTTCCTCTCCGCATATTCTACATTTTCTTTGTTCTTCTTGTATCTACTTCTCTTTCCCTCTCTCTTCATTTCCGCATCTGTCTGGCTATTGCTTTAATATTTTTCCTTCCTTCCCACAAATATTTTGGTATGGACGCCCTCATTAGTTCTTTATAACTACTACCGTGTCAGCTCTCTTTCTGAATCCCTTTTTGCCACCTCATTTTCAATCTTTTCTGGTACTCCTCTCTTCATTTAAGCCTCGGCATGTTTGTATCCATTTCTTTCGTAATATTTCCTCTTTCTGTTCTTTTCACGTTCCTTTTCTTCCTCGTTCCTTCACGAATTCCCCTTGTCCATCACCCCTTTCCTCGAATCTTACTGCTTTGCGCCCCAACGCTATCCTTATCTCTTCCTTTTTTGTTTCTTTCTCTAATATTCATATGCATACTCCATGTCTCCGTTCCGTACACGAGCACCTCTCTCACAATTGCATCGAATCGCTTTTCTTGTTCTAAAATTACTTGAACCCACTCTCTCCAATTCCTCACGCCTCGCCTGTACCATCGCCA